GTAGTGTTGAACGAGAAATTAAGCTGATATTACTACATCAGCGATCTAAACGCAACACCCAGCGTCTACATATATATAAAAAAAATATATTCCGATACCAAACATTAGTGACGAACTTGCGATTCGACATCTACGGAATATTAAAGTCTGTCCAAATAACATAACGAGAACGATTTCTTACACACCCACACACAGAGAAAAAAAATTCAGCTTTTTCATAAAACAAACTGACAACACAAGAACCGAAGTACTACTTACGACTCTAGCTTTTGAAAAAAAGTATCTAAAATTTTTTTTAGGTAACTGAGTTGAATCTCGTGCATAAAATTTTTCTCCCCTCAAATTCACTGAGTCGAGTTTTCTTTTTTGTACCTCTACAAAAAAAAAAAAAAAATACATAATAAGTGCGGTGAAAATTTATACAATTACGTTAAAATTAACGGAACCACGGAATCTCGAAAAAGCTAAACACATAATTAGTTTAGTTTAACTAATTGTTTGTTCATATTTTTTTTTTTAAAAAAAAAAAATCTATCAAGATTTTTTTGTGTCCCTCCCCTTGGTACATGGGTTTCAAAGCAACAAAAAATCGCTGTCATTTTTGTTTGTCTAAATATGGAAGATTTTCAAAAAGTAATCGTCCAAATGCTAAAAGTACATTTGGATCAGCAACAAAAATCAGAAGAAAGACAACAACTATTTTTGGAATTACATAAACAACAAATGGAATTCCAACGAATTACGCTTCAGAATGCTGAACTGCAACAGAAACAACTTAAAGAATTACGCGTAAATGCATTAAAGGCTCAAACTCTGAAAAAGAAACCATATTCTCCCAGAGTACAATCTACAATTCAATGGAAACCTTTGAATACGTACCAGAGAACGACAAAACGTTCAAGGCTTTTTACAGGCGCTACGAAGATATTTTCAACGTAGACTGTGAACAATAAAAAAAAGGCACGTCTACTATTGAGAAAACTGGGAACTACAGAACATAGTAGTTTCGTAGACTTGGATTTTTCAGAGACTATTAAGCTCCTATCGGAACTATTCGGGCCTAACACAACCTTGTTCCACAAACGTTGGAAATGTCTGAACACAGTCAAAGACAACCAGCAAGATTTTCTAACATTTGCAGCATCGGTAAACAAGCTCTGTAATGATTTTAAACTAGCCGAACTGACTGCCGATGATTTCAAGTGCCTAATTTTCGCACAAGGTCTAGTATCAGCAGAAGATGCCGAAGTCAGACGACGGGTACTGACCAAGCTTGAGAACGAACAAGGATTGACTCTCCAAAAACTGGCAGAGGACTGTCAAAGAGTAATATCTGTAAAGTGTAACTCAAATACTATCGAGGAATCAGGTGTGGCTCAGATTAATAAAATCAGAAGCAAGTCTACCTCCTATTCCCCTCAAAAAGACAAAAGGCAAATCTCATGTCCTAAATTCCGCAGTAACCAAAACCCAAATAGGTTAAAGAAACCGCCCGGACCATGTTACCATTGTGGTAAATGGCATTGGATGAAATTCTGTCCAGTTAAGAACAAAAAATATTGCAAAAATTGCAATAAAAATGGGCATACTTTAACTCGGTGTTGGTACGCCAACAGAACGAGAAAACCCCAAAATAAAATTAGGCAAGCTCAATATGACAATATTGTCGATAGGAATTTAAGGAAATATGTAACTGTGGATATTTTTGGTAAATCCCAAAAAGGAACTCAAACAACAATTTCCCCAGGTTTTTTCTGGCGGCCTTGGGAAATGTAGTAAAATGAAAGCTAAGTTCAAGGTGAAGGACGGTGCACAACCGGTATTTAAAAAGAAACGGAATGTCCCTTTCGCTGCTCTAGAGCAAATCAACAAAGAGTTAGATAGACTCGAACAAGCAGGTATTCTGTCAAAAACAGATTTCAGCGAGTGGGCAGCACCTACGGTCTACGTAAAAAAGAAGTCCAATCAAATACGAGTATGCGCAGATTTTTCCACAGGGTTAAACGATGCCTTGCAAGATCACGACTATCCTCTCCCAAGCCCTGAAGAAATTTTCAATAAACTCAATGGTGGAAAATTTTTTTCTAAAATCGACCTCTCGGACGCATACCTTCAGATAGAGGTGGAAGAAGAAAGTTCCAAATTGCTCTGCATAAACACCCATAGAGGGTTGTGGTTGTACAAATGCAACAGACTGGCTTTTGGAGTAAAGGTTGCGCCTGCTATTTTCCAGCAGGTCATGGACGCCATGCTGGGCGACCTTGACTACGCAACAGTTTATTTGGATGATATACTGATTACTAGTAAAACTACGGCAGAGCACCGGAACCATATAATAAACGTATTCGAAAAGATACAAGAATACGGATTTAAGGTTAAGAAGGCAAAGTGTGACTTTTTCTTACCAGATATTAAATACTTAGGTCACATCATAAATAAAGAGGGTCGTCGGCCGGATCCAGAAAGAGCCAACGCGATCAGAAACATGCCGGCCCCAGATAACGTTCAAGCGTTACAAAGCTTCCTCGGCCTAGCTAACTTTTACCAAGGGTTCATTAAGAACATGCAAAATATGAGAGGGCCTCTCAACCAACTTTTAAAAAAGGACAAACCATGGACCCCGGAATGCCAAGACGCATTCGAGAAGATCAAGAAAACCCTTACTTCGGACCTCTCCCTCACCCACTACGACCCTAGTCTCGACATCATAGTCGCAAGTGATGCAAGCTCGTACGGCATCGGTGCTTGCATTCTACATAAACTGCCAGAGGGTTCGTGAAAAGCTGTGGCTCACGCATCAAGATCTCTACTTCCAGCTGAGAAACAACATTCCCAAATAGAGAACGAGGCTCTAGGGTTAATATTCGCGGTGAAAAAGTTTCACAGATCCCTACATGGTAGACGGTTCATACTACACACGGACCATAAATCTCTAATTACAATCTTTGGTTCTAAATAGGGTCTGCCAGTCTATACTGCAAATAGACTACTTCGTTGGGGAACGATTCTCTTAAACTACAATTTCACGATAGAGTTCCTAACATCCAAAAATATTTGCCATGCAGACAGTTTATCGCGACTCATTCCAAAAAATACAGAAGTCTTTGAAGACTCCATCATTGCTACTCTAAGGACAAATTGTGAAATCAAAAACATGATCATGAGAGCTCCCAGTTACTTTGGCCGACATAAAAAGGGAGTCTCGAGAGGATGAATTCATTCAATCTATAAAAAGCAAAATTCGCAACAAAGACCCCAATGTGCCTGAAGTTTTCTCCCTTTGCGATGATGTCCTACTATACAATGACCGCGTAGTGATTCCAAACAGCCTACAAAGAAAAATCCTCAGGGATTTTCACATAGGACATCCGGGGAAGAACCGTACGAAAAGCGTCATGCGCTGCTATGTTTATTGGCCAAACATGGACAAGGACATAGCAGACATGATATAATCATGCAAAGGATGCGCGCTTGCAGCAAAAGCTCCAAACACGACGTGCAAACCATGGCCAAACACAGACCGTCCATGGCAAAGAATTCATGTCGATTTTGCAGGGCCTATAGACAACATGTACTACCTCATTGTTGTGGATAGCCACTCAAAATGGCCTGAGGTCCTACAATGCAAAAGACCAACCACAAACTGCACGATCGGATTTCTACACGAGCTAGTCGCGCGTTTTGGCGTGGTAGATTGTGTAGTTACAGATAATGGCACTCAATTCACATCGAGTGAATTTAGAGACTTCTGCAAGTCATGTCAGGTGGACCACATTACAACGCCTCAGTACCACGCTAGGTCGAATGACCAGGCCGAAATGTTCGTGGACACTCTAAAAAGGGCTTTTAAAAAGGCACTAGGCACACCGACAGATAGAGCATTGCAACAGTTTCTGCAGGTGTATCGGATAACCCCTAATCCGAACACGCCTATGGGAAGCTTGCCTGCAGAAACAATGTTCGCAAGGAAAATCAAGTCTGTTTTCGACAAACTTATTCCACGGCAAGCAAAGTTAAAAAAAAAAAAACAAAAAAAAAAAAACGTATAGCCTCATGAGAAATATTTCAATCCTGGCGATAAAGTCTTTTTCAAGGATTACAAAAACAACATAACATTCTGGGAAGTAGGCACCATAAAACAAAGAATTGGCGAATTGGTCTATATTGTCCAAGGACCGAAAAACACTCACAAACGCCATCAAAACCAGCTCAGAAAATGCTATTTGAAGGAATCGGAGGAATCACTACAAAATAGCTGTGAAGAGCTGATCGACGTAATTTTCGATCACTTCGATCTCGACACGCCCCAAGTCTCTCCTGAAGTGCGATGCTCTGGAAGGAAAAGGAAATTTACTCAACCGCTCGATGTAAATCCCGAGAGAAAAAAGTATTAACAGTTTTATGTTTTTTTCTCTCCTTTAAAAAAAAAAGAAAACTCTTGGAAGGGGGGTGTTGTGAGACCATAACATACCTACAACATGGGCTCTTCCAGGACTATATAAAATATGCGATATAATACTCTAAGAGAAGAGGAGGAAAGAGAGAGAGAGAGAGAGAGAGTATTCTAATATCGTAGTATCAGCCGCGTACAATATTGGACACTAGCACATAGTAAGCTCCGCTTGCACTTACACTATCTTTGTAACCTTTTGAAGTTTTTGTTTATTATTTTCATGGTGTAGTATATTGGTGTTGTCAACAAGTATTTTCCTGTATTGTGAACCGTCCTGGGTATGACGATAAACTACGTCCAACAGCAAGGACTCTGATCAGTAGGTTTTCAGGAGCGAGGAACCACCTTTTAATTGCTGGTGTTGCCAGGTCCACTCTGACCTGTGGTTGTAGCACCTGTTAAGGTCCCAGCTATGGGCAAATAGTTACACCAAAAATTGTGTAAAAATAGGTTTTAATACAAGAAAGGATTCTTCGGTGTTCATATGGTAACTAGTATTTCAACGTGATGTGACCGTAAGTCATATAAGCTTGGCTGCTCATCCAAGCTTACAGTATCCGGTATTCCGAAACGGTCGTCCATCTTGGTACTGACCAGGTTCGACGTTGCTTAACTTCGGTGTTCATATGGTAACAAGTGTTTCAACGTGATGTGACCGTAAGTCATATAAACTTGGCTGCTCCTATATACTTCATGTAAATAACTCTCGCTAAGGCTTTACGAAAGGTATAATAGTTTTTTGTCAGGTAAGATGAGTGATTTCCCGAAGTGCACATTCGTTTTCTACTTTCTGTAACAATCATTGTGGCATGCCAATAGCAAAACCTTTCATCTGGATATGTACTTTCCCAGCCGGAGTCCGAATTCATTTAGCCGATACTATTTCAGTGATGTTGACAGTTATATCCCCAGACGAATTACTATGAAGACAACCAAAAAATATCTGACTATTTTTTAAAAAATCTTTTTTGTTTTGTTTGTTTTCCAAAAATTTGCGAAAAGGAAACGAGACACGTAAAAAGTAAATTTGGGAGAGATATGTTTTGGCAACATTTACAAATATAAATAGATTTCTATAAGACGGGGAAAAATGATAAAGTTATTTTTGTCTGAGAGAGATTTCGCGAAATAAATCTTTACGATTCAATAAAGAAGGTATCAGCTGGTCGCTAGAGCCGCCATTGTAGATGCTGCTGCTGCTTGAAGCCAGACGAGACAAGACGAGACGAGACGAGATCAGACAAGACGAAGCAGGAAAGCAGGACTAATGTAATATATTATTCAGCAAGGCCTTTAATCTATATTGTATGTAAATGCTTTAATAGATGGATGTGTGTGCAAACTTATAGGCATATGAACAGAGATTTTTCTAAGTACGCCTAGTAACACTATTAAACATTAATGTATAATTTAACTTCCTTTATATATATATATATATATATATATATATATATATATATGTGTGTGTGTGTGTGTGTGTGTGTGTGTGTGTGTGTGTGTGTGTGGTACATGTGAATAGATCTATATTTTATAATTGTTTTAATTTAGTCATCCACGCATACAAATAAATGAAGAGACATTTGCTGTCATAGAGATTTATTTGATATTGCTGCAGACAAAATTTCACGCATGCGCACACTGCAAATTTGCGGTAGAAAGCGTGTGAATAAATTTAAATATGCTTCATTCTTTTCTTTTTTTTGTTTGGTGAAACTGAAAAACAAGAATAAACGAAATTGGCAGGGACAGGAGGAAGGAAAGAGAAAGGAAAGAGAAAGGAAGAAAAGGAGAAAACAAAGGAAATAAAAAGAAAAAGAGGAAGAGAGGAGAGAGACAAAGAGACTGTAATGGAATTTATATGAGTAAAAAAAAAATGGAGGGTAAAAGGAAAGAGGGAGTATACGAGGAAAATAATGCTTCATTCTTCATTAGTTATTGACATTGTACAATTGAAATAGTAGAGAAAATGGCCGAAAGAGAAGTAAAGAGTACTTATTCAGTTTACATCTAACTATTTATCTGTCTCAGTCTGTTCATATCTATCTATCTATCTATCTATCTATCTATCTATCTATCTATCTATCTATCTAATTCTATTCATATCTATCTTATTCTATTCAGATCTATCTTTCTTACTCTGTTCATATCTATCTATCTATCTATCTATCTATCTATCTATCTATCTATCTATCTATCTCAGTCTTTTCATTATCTCAGTCTGTTCAATATCTATCTATCTATCTATCTATCTATCTATCTATCTATCTATCTCTGTTCATATCTCTCTCTTTCTGTTCATATCTATTTTATTCTATTCATATCTATCCATCTATCTGAAAGAAAATTGATTTATAGCTATGAGTGGACAATTATATCAATCTATTTATGCATATATCTTCTCTCCTTATTTCTCTCTCTCTATATATATATATCTATGTGTGTGTGTGTGTGTGTATCTATGTTTGTGTGAGTGTGTATGTGTGCGTATCTGTCTTTTTCAAGTAGGATGTCTAGTGTCTTTTCTCTTTGTTTGTCATTTGGTCTCTCATTCTCTCTTTTTATTGTATCTCTTCCTCCCTCTTCCTCCCTCCACACACACACACATACACACACAGACACTCGCACACACATGTATATATATATATATATATATATATACTCTACGGATCTACTTTTCTCTCTTAAAAGAAATAAAGGAAAAACCTGCACGCAAATTATTGATTCTTGCTTTCAATGAAGAATATAAGAAACCTAAGTAATAGAATCAGAGATTCATATATGAATTAATGAGTTCTCTGATAGTGCAAAGAAAAAAGAAAATTGGCCACGAAAAGAAATAAAAGAAAGAAAGAAAGAAAGAAAGAAAGAATGAAGAAAAAGAAAAAAATAGTGATAGGGAAAAGAAAGAAAGAAAGAAAGAAAGAAAGAAAGAAAGAAAGAAAGAAAGAAAAGAAAACATAAGAAAACAATTTATTCTTTAGCAGTATTGTGCTTATGAAGGGATGGAAACAAAGAGAAAATACGTAGAGAGAGAGAGAGAGAAAGAAAGAAAAACGAGAGAGAAAGTGTGAGTGAAAGAGAAAGAGAAAGAGAGAGGGAGCGAAATAGAGGGAGAGAAAAAGAGAAGTGAGAGAAAGAGGGAGAGGTCAAGAAAGTGAGAGGGTAGAGAAAGAGACAGAGGGAGAGAAAGTGTGACCAAAAGAGAGAGAAAAGAGTGACAGGTGAGATAGAGAGAGGGAAAGTGTGAGCGAAAGAGAGAGAGAGGGAGAGATAAAGAGGGAGCGAAAACACGAGGGAGATAAGAAGAGAGGGGAGAGAAAGAGGTAGAAATAGAGAAAGTGAGAGAGGAGAGAATGTGAATGAAATAGAGAGAGAGAGAGGGGAGAAAGGTAGAGAAGTGAGGGGGAGAGAAAGAGAGAGAGAGAGGAAGTGAAGGTGTGAACGAAAGAGAGAGGGATGGGAGGGAGAGCGAGAGAGGAAATGTGAACAAGAGAGAGAGAGAAATCGAGAGGGAGAGATAAAGAGGGAGAGAGAAAAAGGGAGAGAAAAGAGATGGGGAGAAAGAGAGAGTGGAGAGTGAGGGGTGAAAGAGAGAAGTATAGGAAGGAGAGTGAGAGGGAGAGAAAGTGAGAGAGGGAGAGAAAGAGTGGGAGACAAAGAGAGGAAGTGAAAGAGAGATGAGAGAGAAAAGGGGTAGAGGGAGAGAAAGTGAGAGAAAGAGAGAAACTGTGAGCGAAAGAGAGAGAAAGAGAGGGAGAGAAAGAGAGGGAGAGAAAGAGAGGAAGAGAAAGAGATAGATGCAGAAGCTTTTTTTTTTCACAAAGATGATTTATTTTCGCACCTTCAGATTCTCTCTCTCTCCCTCTCTCTCTCTCTCTCTCTCTCTCTGTTTTGTTTTTCGACTTTTATTTTTTCTCTTATGAAGATTTCTACTTCCTTCTTTCTGGACAGTCGAGTCTCTCTTATGACCCTCATCTTGCATTTCCTGATGAGACTGAATGTTTCTAATGAATAGCTGGCTGCCATTTTAAGTTGGCACATCTCCAAAAACCTCTAGGAATCTTCCAGATCACAACCAGAAATCAATATCCAAAAATTATGCAAGAAAAAGAAGGGAGAGATTGGAACAAATGAGACAGCATTTACATTCTTCACATGCAGACAAACATCTTCATCTTTGTTGTTGTTATCAACACAACAAAGATGAGGAGAATAGTCCACAAGATATTAGGTTGGTGCAAAAATAATGACGTAATAATGTCGTTTTTTGACGTTAAAAACTACGTCAAAAACGACATTATTACGTCATTATTTTTGCACCAACCTAATAAAACCCCGTGCCAGAATTTCAGAGAACGCTTTTCTTCTGCTGAGTTTCACAGATGTCTAGAAATTTTCTAATGGCTCAAATCTTACAGCAGACGATATAGCCACCCACAGAATAGTTTTCTGGCTTGTTTCTGTAACACCATATCTAATCTCCATGAGTCATTTTCCAGGCAGCATTAGTTAATTTCTTTGATAGATATACACCCTTGTGCAAATTAATCGACACAAAACGAATAATGCCATTATTGCTTACTCTTTTCTAGTATTTTTCCCATGAAACATGACCCAGTGCACATGTTAGTACTTCGAATGTTCATTCTACAAAGTCTTTCCTTGCAGACTGACCACAGATTCTCGATTGGATTTAAACCAGGAGAGTTTCCGGGCCAGTCTATAGTACTTTGATTTGCTCACTAGTAAGTTTTGCCAGTATGCTCGTGTAGCGTTACAGTTTTCGTACACTTCCTTGGAGTAATGTCCATCGCCGACAATGGCCGTAGGACAACTAATCGACAGTCGAGGCAATAGTGTCTGGATGGGATAAAAATCTTATGCAATCACGAATGACGCAATATTTTTCAAGGCCAAACAAATTTCATCATGCACCCTGAAAATAGATTCATATTACTGCAAACCACTTCAAATGATCTAATCTGAGACAAAAATAGAAATCAAATACACACTGTCACCCCAGTGAGTTTAAAGAGGGTGGGGTGGTTGGTTTATTTATTCATGTCACGATAAACTAACTCCCAGACATGCCTCCCAACGATTGTAGCAAACATGTCAGCGTCAAATGGATTATGTATGTAGCCAAGTATGATGTTTTGATTTGCTGAAGTGGTGGGAGGGGGAGATTAATCAGACATAACGTTATCAGAAACAAAATCCCCCAAAAAATTATATTCCAGAAGCTTCTTAAAGGGACCAATAGATAAAATTAAAAATGCGGAACAAGTATTTACGATGCTAATTATAAAGAATAGACGGCAAAATATAGCCATATTAAAGTTGAATAAATCAAATAAATAATATACCCGCATTGAGTGGACCATTATATACTAACGGAATAATGGCTATAAACTTGTAAAACGTAATTATTCATGATTTTTTTTTAATTCATATTTTAAGGTAAAAGATAGACAGTGTCGGCATAAAACCGTTAATTCATTTCTTTGGTTTAACAGAACTTTTTTTGTTAGGCAACTTTATAATACAGGGTGTCCATAAAGTTCGTGTGCACTTAAAAAAAAACTATAACTTTATTGGATTTCCGATAGAATAATTTGTAAAAAGGATTAGAAAGAAGTAAATCTATATTTTTTAAGGTTTTATTGAAATTTTATTTGTTTCCACATGTCCTCCATCATTAGCAATACAAAGGGTAATACGATTTTGCAGTTCGCGGAAAACATTTGCCAACTGATTTACAGTGATGTCTGAAATCACATTAGTTATTTTAGCTATACTTCAAACTAGGTACATTAAACTTTATAAGATTTTTTACAGATAATTTCTATCGCAAATACAAATAAAATTATTTTTTTTTTTAAAGTGCACACGAACTTTATGGACACACTGTATATAATTTTTCTTGTAAACACATGAAACATAGATTATTTCATATAAATTATTTCACCTCAAGAAAAGAAATAAAACCACTAAGACGCAAGGAGTTACTGAGAACAAAAACAAAAACAAAAAAGAAAAACAAAGAGAGAAAACAATAAGAGAACAGGAATTAAGAAGACAAAAGATAACGATTGGCGTTGCATTTAAATCATTGAAAATCAAAGTTGACTGGAACGCAAGAAACCGGAAGAAAGTTCCACAGGCGGGAAGTCCGATAGAAGTAACTGTTATTATAGAACTAGTCATTTCAACTGTAAAATGAAGAGACCTTGTCGCCAGTCTGTGCGTGTGTGTGAGTGAATATCATAGCCAGACAGGAGATAGGTATGTGGAAATTAATCGCATCTTTTAATATCGGATATAAACTCAAGAACAGAATAAAAACTAATCTGATTAATATGAAACGATGTTTGAAAAATTCTCTCTAAAAAAAAATGAAGTATTGGAAAGCTGGACACAAACACTCAGGATTTTCAGCCAGGGCACCAAAATGGAATTTCGATACGAAAAATCTGGAATATCGATGTAGTCTGGCAAAATAGCGAGTCACCGACATGTTAATTTTGAATGAGTAGATAACTGAAAAGCAAAGTGTATTCTTAAAGGAGAAAGATTTGCTTACAACAAGACAGGAAGTTATGATTGCTCACATCTTGAAGGGACATGGAGCAAATCTCAGTGTGTCACGCGTTTTCAACTTTACTCCCAGAGGCCTTAGCCCAACATATCATACCATTTTGGAATCAGGCCAACTCCGTGAGCAAATTAAAAACATTCCTGGTCGGATCCGGACCTGCAATCCTGAAATTTTGGATTCCCAAGTTTTTATTACTGCAATTGTTTTTGTACGTGATTTTCTGCGACGAATTTTTTGTCCGATAACAATTTTTATAGCTTTGAAATAAATTTGGGAATGATCGAAATTAATTGCTAAATCCAGTGAAAGTCACCCATGAAAGAAAAATCATTTTTTATACGGAAAGTAAGGATCTATACGTAATTGTCTTTAAATGAAGAGGAATTATCGTTGAACTTTTAAAAGGTAAGCTTAAATATTAATACAATTCTTAAATGCAGCAATCTATTTTGTGTTCTTCTGTAGATTATTGTTGCCTATCCCATAGGGCAACCGTATGAGTCGCAAAAGGAAAGCATCGCCAATGAAAAGAGTCTCGGGTGCAGGGAGGAAAAGAAAGTCCCCTGCAAATGAAAATCCAGATCACACCGCAGACAGAAGAGCTTCCTATGCTGAGAATATGCAAAGACTTAAGGACTCACATAATCCTGAACAAGCCGAAGGACAATTATGAGTTCTCCAATTGAGCAAGGGTAAATGCCGCCAGAAAGAGCTGTTTTAAAATGGTATATATATATATATATATATATATATATATATATATATATATATATATATATATATATAGTCAAACCTAGTGAGTCAGACAAACCTACCCAGGTTTCACCTAAGCGGATCGTCAGGGAAAGCTGGCTCTTTTTAGTGAGCTCTTTTTAGTTTTTTTTAATTAGTTGTTTACTCGTGTCGGGGTTTTTTCTTTGGGCTTTAAACCTGTATCTGTGCGATTTTATTCGACAGACTTTCATGTTTCTAGGTCTTTCTTTTTTTAAAACCTTTTTTTCCTTCGAGATTGATTTGATTATTGGCAAATCAAAAATTCGAAAGTTTTTCGAAACGAGTATAGTTACCTATATATATATATATATATATATATATATATATATATGTATGTATGTATGTGTGTGTTTGTATGTGTAGAGACAGAGACAGAGAGAGAGAGAGAGAAAGAAAGAAGAAATGGAGAGAAAAAAGAAATGTATCTGTTTTTAATCATTTTAATGCAAGTAAGACAATAAAGTCACTAAGATGCAAGAGGGTCACTGGGTGTGAAAGAATAAAAGAAAACATTATTAAGAAAAGTGAGCAATAAAGAACTTAGAAATGCAGAAAACAAAAGGTAACAATCGACATTGCATTTAAATCTTTGAAGATCAAAGGTCACAGGAAAACAAGTGTCCGGTAGAGCGTTCCAAAACAGAGAAGTGCGAGAGAAGAAACTGCCAACGTAGAACTTACGGTTACATCTTGGCATTTTTAGTGTAAAATGGTGAAACCTAAGTGCCAATCTAGTACTGCGCTTAAATTTGTAAAGTCGTTGAACCAAAGAGGAGAGGTCATCACAACAATTATCATGAATATAGTTATAGAAAATAAAATAGGAAGGTACGTTCGGGTGGTGGGGAAAATAACTGAACATTAGTTGCCAATCTGTCTATCTGTCTGTCTATCTATCTATCTATCTATCTAGAGATGATTATCTTCATATCTATGGTAGCCTGTTCGTATCTATCTATCTATCTATCTATAGATGATTATCTTCATATCTATGGTAGCCTGTTCGTATCTATCTATCTATCTAGAGATTATTATCTTCATATCTATGGTAGCCTGTTCATATCTATCTATCTATCTATCTATCTATCTATCTATCTATCTATCTATCTATCTATCTATCTATCTCAGTGTCTATGCGTGTGAGTGTATATTTTTGAAAACAGGAATCATTTGCTGAATTATAAGTTCAATTTAATCCATTAAGTTACAAATCGCCTGCGAATTGTAAATTATTTGTTTATATTTTAAAGGATTGCTTACATTGTCTACAATGCAAGGAACACACAAAAGAGCACCAATTCCTGAGTGTGTGTATCGAGGCGAAATTTGTTCTCGTGTTTGTAATTGAAAAAGCAAAATATCTACTTAGGCAATTCGAGAGAAACTCTTATCTCTTTGATCATCTGACTTTCATTGGGAAAGAATAGAAAAGTCTGTAATTTGATATCGGAGGAAAATGACTTGCCAAACTGTTCCTGATAATTACATGGAAAATCATTGTGAGGCAGAGCTTCTTGTTTGAACGGAGGAATACGAAAAGATCTGTAACAGAGATAGATAGATAGATAGATAGATAGATAGATAGATAATGAACAGATTGAGATAGATAGATAGATAGACATGAACAGACTGCCATAGATATGAACATAATCATCTCTCGATAGATAGATAGGCTGATATATATATATATATATATATATATATATATATTTTTATAAATTAATTGATTTAAAATATGTTTTTTTCATACACAGTTCCAACCATGTTTCAAAAATAGAAGCTAAAAACCCCGAATTTAATTTTTGCAATTAAATTAAAAGCATTAGTTCCATTTCATCTTCAAGCGAATTTTGGAGTAACTTTTAAAAATTACCGGGTTTTAAAGACACAGCTAAAATCACGTTTCCATGGTTACAGAATATTCTACTTAAATTGAACAAGGGATGTCTAGATTTTCCTTATGTCAGTATAATTGTATCAGTTATTAGCTACAATTTGGTAAGGGGTAGGGATGTATTTTACAATGAAACCTGACATCAGTTGAATTGATGTCGTCTGAATGTTTTTTTTTTTAAAATTGTTAACGGTAAAAAAATTTCAACGTCATTTTTTAAATTTAAAGATTTTCGTTTTTTTTTTTTTTTTTTTTCTAATACTTTTTATTTAACTACGATTTGAAATATTCTCCTTTTTAATTTTTATTTTACTATATTCTTTTTAAGAACAGTTAAATGTATTAGAATCCATTATATTATGTAGGATTATTTTAACATCAAGTTTAAATATGTAGGTTACATTTCTTTTTTTTTTTTTTTTAAATTTATGACTATGACGGCAAAAATGGTTACTTAATTTCACTGATTTAGTAAACTTTTATTTTATATATAAACCTAGTATTATAATGTTTCTCATGTAAGTACTAAGGACATGGGTCATTCAAAAGCTTACAATTAATTTATAATATTAATGCTCTGCAAATTTACATTGAGCACTACTTTGTAAAAATAAAATATCTATAAGAACACCGGATTTTATATCTTACTGTTCTTTCTTTTTATTTATACACACACACACACACACACACACACACACACACACACACACACACACACACACACACACACATATATATATATATATATATATATATATATATATATATATATATATATTGTGTATATTTAGACAGCAATTTTTCATTAATTCATGTTTCATTAAATAATATAAACAACATGCCTGGCCACGTACACAATTCCGGAAAATCCTCGAAAACACAACTCTACTTAAACATGAAAACAATAAACAAAAACTAAAAATTCTTGAAGCTATATACATAAAACAGTTGAAACCTAACCTGAACAAAATAAACTACGAAATCTCCACAAATATCCTTAAATGCCTATAATTTATAACAGAAGACATTGGTTTATACCAACGATTTTCCATACTTAATACTTCTCGTTTTCACTCTCGCGTGGTCATGTGTGACGTCACGAGCTGCGACGCGATTTTCGCTTCTGTGCCTCGTATACATGGGTTAGTCATTGCTTGGAAATTTTTCATGCAACAAAAACAGACTATCATTATTGTTTCGTCCGTGTATTGGTTGATATATTGAAAAGTAATTGTCATCTTTGATAATGGCTTGTGTAAGCCGAAAGCTTAGATTGGATTTAAACATGTATCAATATGGTGATTTCCTTTCGTCTTTCAATGATAATGTTATTAAGCTTATCAGACAGTATGAAAGGAACTTAAAATAAATAGACAAAACTTGTCTATATTATTTAATGAAACATATATATGTATATATTTTAAATTTAATCTGTATTAAGTTTAAAAAATTATAAAATTTTTTAAAAGAAGAAACTAAGGGAAAATTACATATGTTTTGTTTTTATTTAAAGGCCAAAATTCAGTTAGAATAAACGTTAAAGTTGCTCTAAGCTTCATTACGGCTTAGAAAACATTTGAAGTGACGATATGGTCAGGGAGGATGAAATCTTGCAAAATACATACACAATCGAATTATAATACTCAAACACGTAGGCATATTTAGATAAACACGCAATATATATATATATATATATATATATATATATATATATATATATATATATATATGAATTATTCACAAAAACTAATGCAAAGGTTAATGATTTTAAATGGTGAGACATCCATCTCGCAAACAATTCAAATAGTACACAAAAACCTTACATCCATTATGAATGAATTGATCCTTGTTCATATAAATTTCTGCCGTATTAGTTGTTATTTTTACACAAGCTTTCGTCTGTTCCTACAGACATCTTCAGGTATATAATAGATGTTGTTCTTGTTTTTTTTCTCTTACTAATAAGAGGACATCGAAAATATATGTGTATTGTATCCGAAATGCTATTGAAAATGAGATATTGGTTTTTGAACGCGCCAAAGCAACGCTGAGTTTGATTTTTGAGTTTGATAGATAGATAGATAGATAGATAGATAGATAGATAGATAGATAGATAGATAGATGCATACATACATAGATTGATAGATAATGAACAGAGTGGAATAGATAGATAGATAGATAGATAGATAGATAGATAGATAGATAGATTATGAACATACATACATACATACATACATACATACATACATACATAGATTGATAGATAATAAAAAGACAATAATAGATTGTTAGATAGATAATGAACAGACTGAGATAGAGAGATGCATAGATAGAATGATAGACATAAATATAAAGAGACTGCGATAGAAAGAGAGGTAGATAGATAGATAATGAACAGACTGAGATAGATAAATAGATACATAGTAGTATGGCTGGTAACTAGTATTCGAGGATACCCATCTACAAGGGCGGCTAGCCAGTCTCTATTTCAGACGCTTGCTCAGGCGTATTTGCGTTTATTCATCATCCACAGGGCCCACTTGGGGTTAATACTGAATAATACTGAGCAGACCTTAGTCCTAGTTTCTGGGAAAGAATCTGTTATCTAGCTTGATCAACAATTTGAACAAAGCCTGCACGATCAACGCCTCGGTCACGATAACTTGTGACTTCGTGTTAGCACAGCTATCGAGGGTCTCCAAGGGTTCCGTCTACCCAATTTCGCTCACAAAGCTTGGGTCTACCCGTAGTCTGATTTTCTGGCTTTTCACCTTCCCTCACCTTTCCAAAGGTTTCGTACACTGGGATCGATTCATCCAGTTCGATAACATCAGGAAATCTCCTACCTGACAAATCGACCATGGTGAGTTTCGAGCTGAAGAGAACAGTTAGGGAAGATCCAACTAAATTCATAAGATGTTTGGCACGTGAGAGAGGGGCTTCAGCTATGACAGCCCAAGAAGCAGTAAAAAAAAACTTGAAAGTGACATCGTACGTGAAACCTTTGAAGCATTTAGTTACTCCAGGAAAGAAATTTAGAAAGTTAGAGAGGGCGAAGATCATCTTAAATAAGTTGGAAAATGATCCAATAATATGTATATATATATATATATATATATATATATATATATATATATGTGTGTGTGTGTGTGTGTGTGTGTGTGTGTGTGTTATTTAAATACTTCATAAGCCTCCGATCCTTAGCTATGATTAATTAATGATGACGATGTCATTTTTGATTATGATCGATTTTATCACGATTCTTCTGTTAAGCTTGGAGAATAATTATACACTCTTATTGTAGAATCCAATAGTGTTATAAAAACTCGGAGACTTCCAGTAAGATATCTTTAATCATTTCTAAGATACAACGTCTCGAAGCTTAATCTAACAATTGGACAATTTTACTATTAGACTCGGTATATCTATCCAATGATTTTTTTTTCATGCGTGCACATATTAAGCGCATCCTTGTCCACAGGTGTTGACCTCTCGGGGTCACCATTGACAATGGATGAATCACGGATCACCTTTAGCTAGTGATCATCTCAGGCCTAGCTTGTACCTGGATTCTTGTGGCGATTTAGTGGGAAATCGAGATCAACTCTGTGACGTCATAGAAGCAAATTTTAGATCAACCAGTTTAGAACTACGACAAACGCAAATCGAGTTTCACAGAATTCAACCATTCTCATTCCTTACTTGCTCCAAAGAAGACAGTCTCACCCGGAGAGCTTTTTTCCAAGTAATGCCACTTTGTGGTACAGTCTCCCGCGTGTGTGCTTCCCTAAACACTTCGATCCATTCTTAGTCAGTTGTTATCTATTCTACTCATCCTCATAAACTTCCCACCCTAACCTCGTCTTCTATTCAGAGTACACAGATAAACACAGCTGATAAATGTTAAGATATACAGGTTTTTTCAGTTTCTTTGAGGACACGTATGCTTATAGCTCTAACAGTTTTCTAAATTGTCCTGATTATAATCTTTTTCAGAGAAATGTTGACAAACCTCAAGCAAATGAAAAGTCACGCTGTAATCCTTGCCTTACAAGGAATAGCTTATTGGTTTAGAGATTGCTTGCTTTATAAAAGTTGCACGATCGTTTGTTGCCAAAGTTCGCAAAGAGCTGGAAGGAATTCTACAAACGTAGTCGAACATAAATCGCCTGCTAAGGGTTGAAATACTATCAGGAGACCAACACTTGTACAAAAATATCAATAATAATCCAAGGAAGTTAATTAACGCCATTTGTAAGGAGCTCAAAGTTTCAAGTCATTATATCTGAAGAACTGACAATGAGGACATTAGATACATGTCATATGTGTGCAGGGAGGCGAATTCCTGTTTGCAAAGACAAAAGATAATCGTCTGATCCACGCAGAACGATTGATGAGTAAGTTGAAACTTCAAGAGCCTGGAATACTCTGTTTTTTTTCTTTCTCATGAAATAAATTATAACTGAACGGATTTTTTCGTCTGTACTCAAATATATATATATATATATATATATATATATATATATATATATATATATATATATATATATATATATATATATATATATATATATATAAATGTACATTAAAGTCAACACTCAGAGGCGACAGGCTGTTTCATGCTGACGCAATGGTCTGACGATTGCGTCCAGCATGAAACAGCCTGTCGCCCTGAGTGTTGACTTCAATGTACACTTTTATATTTATATTTACATACGCTCTATCTTTGATATTGAGTACTTTATCCCATAAATATAGCGCACCTTAAAACTATATATATATATATATATATATATATGTTGTGACCAAGTATATGATTAAGAATTAAAAAAAATACAAGTGGTTGCAGATAAATAGTGTACAGTAAATACAAAAGAAGAGTGTTACACGACTTGGGAGTGTGTGTCGGTTGACCAGCGTTCAGTCTGTATCACTGTTAATATTTAAAAGCAGCCCTCCCCCCGCGAGGGATATATGTGGCACAAGGCTAAGTTTAACGTGGGTCATCCGAGCCCGTAGGCTCGGCCAAAAATTCACCGTAGAACCGGCATAAACGGGTTTGGGTCTGTCTACGTCCCCAGACGATACTCTGCCTTTCAGTACAGCATCGTACGAGTCCCTCTCTGCTTTTGTCAGAGAGGGACTCGTACGATGCTACGACAGGAGCTACTACAGCCTCAGTAGAACAGTCCTTACCACCGTTATATTTAACGCCACCCCCCCGCCACCACGCGGATCGTATGTGGCACTAAGCCGAGTTTACCGTGGGTTCTCCGAGCCTGTAGGCTCGGCCAAAAATATTCCCTTTAAACCCGTATAAACGGGTCCAGGGCCTGTCTACCACCCCGGACGAAACTTTTCCCTTTGGCAAAGCTTTGTCCGAGTTCTTCTCCGCCGAGGCGGAGAGTTCGACAATAATGAACGGTCTATATCACCATTTCCCCGAGGCTTACTTTCCTACTACTTTAAAGTAAATGGAAGAGTCCACAATAGCCTCATTAGAGGGAAGACACCACAACAATATATATATACAGTGTAACCCGGATATAAGAGACCAAGATATAAGAGAAACCCGGATATAAGAGAGATTTTATCTGGTCACAAAATAGAGCCTGTGTTAATGTATATAAAATAGACCAAACCCGGATATAAGAGAAACCCGGATATAAAAGACGTCTTCTCTTACACTATATATATATATATATATATATATATATATATATATATATATGTAAAATCAAATATAAATGAATATCAGTAAATATGCAGTTCTATATTATTTAAAATAATATGACAAGGTACTTTGAGGACACTTATATTACTAACTGTAACAAATATGTAAATTGTTCTGGTTATAATTTTTTTCAGAGAAATGTTGACAAACCTTAAGCAAACGAAAAGTTACACTGTAATCTTCAAGGAACCACTTTGTGAAATGGACATACGAAGTACTCACATTTGTATTGGGTCATGTTTCATTAGAAACATACGAAAAAGTAAATAATAACGAAATATTCCTTTTGCTTCAATTAATTTACACAAGGAGTAGTGTTCCAAAAATGCCAGGATAGATTTATTATAAAGTTCTTGATAAAAAAATGTTCCAAATAATGACGAGAAATTGCCGAAAGTAATGGCGCGAAAAAGCTATGAGCTTTCGACATGTATGTCTATATATAATATTAAATCATGCAAGGCAATAAAGCCACTAAGACACAAGGGGTTACAGGGTGTGGAAAAATTGTTAATGGAAACATCAATAATGAGCAGAAAGAGAATAGATTTGGCTTGGTTTGTTTTGTTTTACGGCATATCAACCTCAATGGGTCATTTAATGCCAACAACTTTTTTTTTCCTGGTAATATTTTTGGTTTGTCAAAAATCTATTTCTGTTAATATTTTTTCATCAAAAATGTATAGCTGGTAATATTATTTTCAAAAACGTATTGCTGGTAATAGTCTTTTTTTCAAAAACGTATTGCTGGCAATAGTTTTTTTTTAAATGTTCGTCTGGTAATAATTTTTTTACAAAGTATTTCTGGTATTAAAACCTATTTTTACACTTTTATAATGTTTTTACCTCAGTTTCGGGGTTAACTATTTGCCCATAGCTGGGACCCTAACAGGTGCTACCACCCCGGGTTAGGGTGGAGCTGGGAACAGCAGCAATTAAGAGGTGGTTTCACGTTCCTCAAAAACCTTCTGATCAGAGGCCTTGCTGCTGGATGTAGTTTATCGTCATACCCAGGACACGGATGTAGTTTATCGTCTTACCCAGGACACGGATGTAGTTTATCGTCATACCCAGGATGCGAGCGGAAAGAGAAAAGAGTAATCAGGACAGTAGACAGCTATTGACATTGCATTTAAATTTATTCAGATTAAAGTTGGCCGGAATGTTTGCAGCCGGAAGGGAGTTTCACAAGCGGAAGTGTGAGAAATGAAACTTTGCTTAAAATTTACGGTTACGTATATCCAGCTCAACTGTAAAATGATGAGATCTCGACGCCAGTCGAGTACTGCGCTTAAATTCATAAAGCCTAGCTACCATAGCGAAGAGCTTATCCGAAGAATTATCATGAAAGTATTTATAATAAAAACACAGAGAGACAAAGTGACTGAAGCCGAGTCGCCAGATTAGGACCAATAATATTGCTGATTTTTCTTTGGATTTTACCAAGGAGCTCAAGGTAAATAGCAAGGGCACCGGACCATATATGGCAGTAATATTCAAAGCATGGATGAACGGTCGACTTAGAGATACGCAAAAAAAAAAATGTCTCACTCGTCACATTGAACCGAATTTCTTAGCAGCTGACCTAGCAATGGATTCAATATAGTTTCCACTTCATATCAGCTGAGAACGTGAGCTCGAGAAGGGGCAATGAGTCACTTTCGTAGAGATTAGCATCAGCTAGACTGATAGAAGGCAGCGAGGAGTCGCTCAGATAATTAGTTAAGAAAGGTTTAGTTTTGGAAAATCAACAAGCCATCCTTTGCCCCAGTTAACCTTCCCAAATTTAATCACGTAAAAAAATTGCCGAAAACAATCGCAGTAATGAAAACTTGGGAATCCGAAATTTTAAAATTACGAGTCCGGATCCGGCCGAGAATGTTTTTAATTTGCTCATGGAGTCGACCTGATTCCAAAATGGTATGATATGTTGGGCTACGAAAAGGTGTGACACACTGAAATTCGCATTTATTTATATAGAAGATGAGATATTTTAAGTTAGAGAGTTGTGACCCTTTAACTGAAAAAGTATGACACACACAAACATTTTCGCATTTATTATATAGAAGATATTTCCAGATTGAAATTCTGTTCGCATCATATTTCTCTTCAGAAGTATGATGCTTTTTTACTCTAGTGTCATCAGCTGTCTTATGTTTTCGTAGCCACATTCAAGCTGAATCACTGCATTCCAAAATATTTAATGGAAGACCTATCAAATGTATCACTTGAAGATTTACCACATTTTATCATCACAGAAAACCCTTTTTCAGTTTCAACAGAACTTACAGCAATGGTATTAATTATATATATTTTTAGCTATTATATATCGGCTATTAATATATAAGATTATTCTCGGATATTCCAACAACAGGTTCGGTAAGCTTTTATAATTTTAAGAACCGGTTTGCGACCAGTGCATCTAACCCAGTACATTCCTGGTGAGACAACGAAGGTGGGAGAATGCAAATATCTCACTTTACGTCGATCGGACATTTTGGAAGGAATGCTCAGTGGAGGGGAGAAGCTTCTTCAAGTTTTTAAATACAGCGTGTGTAAGGGAGGGTTCCTAAACCCTTCATTGAACAAAGAGCGGTCATTAGACAACGCCCTAATTTAAGAATTTCTCACGTCACATTTGACTGTGAGACGCCGTCAAAAATATTTTATTATACATTATTTCACGGTAAATAAAATATTTGTGTATTGGGATCTTTTGATGACGTAAAAGAAATATAACTTCATATCATTTTAAACTTTAAATAAAAACTTCTTAATTTATTTATAGCTTAAATTGTTTGGGACCGATATTCAGAGAACTTAAAACGATTATTTGGTTACTTATTTCAGTGCATCATTTCACTTATAATAATTGACACGTGACGCAACAATAGCTAGTGCAATAGTTAAACAAATTAACCTAAGTAATCAACAGTGCATTATTATCGTCATCTGTCACTTATATTATTGCCAAGTAATATTTTTTTAAAATTTAAATAAGTAGCGAAGTAATCTTTCTAAGTAATGCGGTTAATCGAAATAATTGTTGCGTTTATATCTGTTTGCAAAATTCTTAAGGTTTCATTTTTATATCATTCCCATTATAAATTCTTAGTACCCAGAAAGAAGGAGAGAGAGACAGAGAAAAAAATAATGAAAGACATAAAGAAAGAAAGAAAGAAAGAAAGAAAGAAAGAAAGAAAGAAAGGGAGAGTGAAGAAGAGGGGAAGGAAGAAAGAGAGAATGAAAAAGACAGAGACTAGAAAGAAAGAGAGAGAGAAAGAAAGAGAAAGAGAAAGAAAGAGAAAGAGAAAGAAAGAGAGAGAGGAAGAAAGAAAGAAAGAAAGAGAGGGAGAGAAAGAAAGAGAGAGAGAAAGAAAGAGAGAGAGAGAGGAAGAAAGAAAGAAAGAAAGTGAGAGAAAGAAAGAGAGAGAGATATAGAGAAAGAAAGAAAGAGACGTTGCTTTAATTTCAGTTCGTATTTGGACACTTTGTGAATTAACAAATGTAAGTAACACACATTGGAACATGATAATTCAATATAAAATCTACGATTAATAAGTCCATTGTCTTTCACTATCTCCTTTGCCCTCAATGTACTCTTATAAGTTCAATGAATTTCAGTTTTCTCTTTTTCTTTCTGATCTATCAGGTCATCCCATAAGTTCTGTCCAAATTTTAAGTTTTTGTTAAAATGAACGAAATTTAAAGAGAATTTTATAATGTCTAATGGAGCTGAACATTATTTTTATGTTTAGATATATTTAAACTGATCAAATTTTATTTCAGAGAACAATAAAATCAAATTTTGTTTGATTAAAACCCTGCTAACATGGAAGTACCCAAGAATCATTTGAGGCACATAATGCTTTATGAGTTCAAGAAAGGAAACTCAGCAGCCGAAGCGGCTAGAAACATTCACTCAGTTTATGGAGAGGAAGGTGTGAATGAAAGAACTTGCAGAAGATGGTTTGCAAAATTCTGAGGTGGAGATTTCACCCTTGAAGATGAAGATCGAACCGGACGTCCAGTTGAGTTTGATGAAAAGCTTCTTGAAGCAGCCCTTGAAGAAAATCCTGCTTTATCAGTTGAGGAATTAGCAGTGGTTCTCAGTTCAAACCATACAACTGTTCATCATCATCTTCAACAACTTGGAAAAGTTCCTAAACTTGGAAAATGGGTGCCTCATGAATTGTCTGAAAACAACCTCAAATCCCGAGTTGACATCTTCTCTTCTCTCCATTTCCGCCAACTTGTTTCACCTTTTTTGGGTAGACTTGTGACTGGCGACGAAAAATGGATCATTTATCGAAATGTTAAGGATCGTAGACAGTGGCTTGGTAAAGGGAAAGGAACCCAGCCATAGCTGAGAAGGGAACTTCATCGGCAAAAGGTACTGCTTTCAATCTGGTGGGTTCGCCAAAGAATAATCCACTTTGAATTCTTACCACCTAATGCAACAATTAATGCTCAAATATGCTGTCAGCAATTAGAGCATTTGAACCAAGCATTGAGGAAAAAAAGACCTGCTCTAGTGAATCGAAAAGAGGTGATGTTTCATCAGGACAATGCGCGACCACACACAGCAAGAATCACGTCACAAAAGATCAAAGAACTTGGTTGGGAGAAAATTCCTCATCCACCTTATTCTCCTGATCTTGATCCTTCAGACTACCATTTGTTTCGTAGCTTACAGAATCATTTGGAAGAAACAGCTTTTGTAACACGGGAAGAGGTTAAAACTGACATTTGTGAGTTCTTCGAATCAAAGCCAAAATAATTTTACAGTAATAGAATTAGTAAGCTTGTTAATAGATGGAAGGAAGTCATAAATAATCAGGGAAAATACATTGTTGATTGAATCTGTAATTAAATGTAACATTTGGTCACTTGTTTTCTTTATTCAAAATTCGGACATAACTTATGGGATGACCTGATAGCACATTATTTAAAAAAAATAGCCGTAACTAATCATTCGGTGTTTTTTTATAGCCGTTTGTCACGTATTATTGCCAAATAAGATTGTCTTCACATTGACATAAGTCACGAAATAATCTTTCTAAGTAATGAGGTTAAACGAAATAACTGCTTCGTAATTCGTTGCGAAGTTCGTTTAGCTCTCAAGAAGAAGGAAAGGAATTTTTAAAATTCTTTGTGCTTATAAAGTATGAAAAAATTAAGTTGTTCTGTCATTTTTAGATGGCATATCAAAATATAATTTATGTAAATAGGATTTTTATAAAACGGAAGAGGGGTCGGTATTGTATGACACTCAAAATGTTAGGCAGTCGCTTCACAGCTGAAAAAGCAGACTTGAAGGAACAGAGATGTTGTTTTAGATATAAATTCTAAAGATATCACGGACAGAATAAGTGAGCAACGAGAAAATCTTAAGTAAACTAAGAACATCAAGGAAATTTAAACGGTGAACTTAAAATGATTAATTTGTTACTTATTTTAATGTATCATTTTACTTATAATTATTGCCACGTGATGCAAAGAATAGTCAGTGTATTGTTCAAACAAATTAGCCATAAATAATCAACAATTCCTTTTTATAGTTATCTGTCACTTATATTATTGCCATCTTTCACATATTATAGCCATCTGTCATTTATATTATTGCCATCTGTTACTCATATTATAGACATCTGTCACTTATATTATTGGCATCTGTCACTTACATTATAGCCATCTGTCATTTATATTATTGCCATCTGTCACTCATATTATAGACATCTGTCACATATTATAGACATCTGTCACACATTATAGCCATCTGTCACTTATATTATTGCCATCTGTCACTCATATTATAGATATCTGTCACATATTATAACCGTCTGCCACTTATATTATTGCCATCTGTCACTCATATTATAGCCATCTGTCACATATTATAGCCATCTGTCACATATTATTGCCATCTGTCACTCATAGACATCTGTCACATATTATAGCCATCTGTCACTTATATTATTGCCAACTGACAGTTTTTAAATTTTTGTAACCTTTTATCTTGTGAGGCTAGCATTAATAAAAAAATCACTCTTTTCATTTTCGGATAAAAATGGCAGCACATTTTTCTCAAGGGAATTATTGAATTTCATCATCAGATAACGATTCGCCAATAAAAGAAACTTGCACAGCACCGCAAAAATCATATTAAAATTTTTGACGGAAATGTTCCCACATATTTTTTGGACGACAGATTAGAAGCCAGGCAGCCGGAAGAAAGCAAGGTTTGCACTTATAGTTGACTATATTTTCATAATTAATTTTATAATTAATTTGCATTTATTTATAATCAATTTGAATTTAATTTAAATTCATAATAAACAATAATAAATTTGCATTAATTCAAGTTCTTGGCATTCGATTTAATGATTTCAACTAATTTTTGTCAGTTCTGAAAAACTCATTTAAGTAACGCAATAATCAATTTACTGTTTTAGGTTTCTCGCCAAAATCCAAAAACGGATATGCAATGTGATAGGTCCTGATCTGGCATCTCGTCTACAGTCACTTTCTCACTGACGTGATGTGGCTTCCCTCTGTCTTTTTTACAAATATTTACATGGCAACTGTTCTGTCGAACTCTTGTCACTGGTACCCCAACTGCATGAATTTAAGCGTGCTACTAGGTTGGCATCTCGGCCCTACCTTTTCACTGTCGAAACGGTTAAATGTAACCGTCCCTTCTACTCCAACAGCTTCCTATCTCGCACTTCCCGTCAGTGGAACTCCCTTCATGTTAATTACTTCCCTGATAACTATTATCTTCAAATATTTAAATGTAATGTCAATCAATATCTTCCGAGGCCTTGATCTTATTCTCCGTCCATCTATTTATCCTTTCCTCAAACACTCGTCTTTACTCTTACTCTCACTCTCTGTAACTCCTTCCGTGTTAGTGGCACTTCAGCTTTGCTTGGGATGAAATGCTTAAAAAAAAAAAAGGATAAATTGTGAAATAAGTAGCGAAGTAATCATTTTAAGTAACGCGGCTAATGGAAATAAGTGCTGCGTAACTTGTCTCGTTTTTAAACTCACGATCAGAAAGAGGCTGTAGTAAAGAAAAACGAGAAGAAAGAACAAAGTGCGATATGTAAATAGACACTATATGTTAATCAGCAACGGAGAGAACCCAAGGTGTAAATTACGAATTGAAGACATTAACAGGAAACTGGTATAGCAGTTTAATTATCTGGATAGAACCGTAACAGACCACGGATAATGTGACACAGTATTCCAAAGTCATATGAAGTCACATAAAGAAAAATGCCATTCAGAAACGAAGTAAGGTATTAAGATAGGAAAATGTCGTTAGAAACAAGGAAAAGAGTGCTGAATTGCTACGTGATATCTATTTTCCAATACTGTAGTGAATGCTGGTCAATTTCCTCACAGATGAAGAAGAGACTTAAAGCAACGTGGACGCGCAGTTCCACTGAAAATACCGTCGACAGATCATATGAGCAACGAAAAAGTTCTAAGGATAATTGAAACCAAAAGGATACTTATACTTACAATCAGAAAACGACATCTTGAAATTCATGGGAACTATAAAGAGGAAAGAGGACTTGGAGAATTTGACACACTCTGGTGATACTAAAGACAAAGGATTCCGTGTGGAAACGGTAAGTAACAGATAGGAGAGGCGACTTAAGTCGAATTTACTTGTCTCCGAATTTACTTGTCACTAGGCTAAACCAAAAATAACTAATCCCAGTTCTGTATTTTATTTATAAATACATTTTTAATAATATATGGTCAATAAGAATCTATTTTAAGCTTACAAACAAATAAATTTTAGTTTTAATCATGAGTGGCGCTGACAACGACGCCAAACGGTAGATATTGGAACTCCCGTGGAAAACGTCAATATTGAACTCTTAAAGACCGCTAAATAAGACGACAACATAGAGTCACAGATGTTTTCATATTTCGTTCTCTAGGATTTATGATGATTATATTAACATTTACTGTAAATCTACGTATTTTAATATGATTTTATATACTTTTATTCTTATTTATTGTACAGTAACATGATTTTATGTGCTTTTAACGCTTTTCTAGTGATATTACGACTTCAATATTTGTGGCGGACAGACGTAAAGTCGAATAAAATGACTTAAGCTTGATTTAAATTCTTCCGTATATTTTTTGACAAACGACGTATAATTGAAAACGACTTAACTCGAAATGACGTAACCCGAGGTATAACTGTATTTAGTGAATTTGTATGAACGGATGACAGAATAAAACAAAGAGGGAGGGTAAAGAGTAAAAAGGACTAGAAATTGTGGAGGGTCATGACCGGCTAGGTCCTCAAAGTGTACGGTACATGCATACTAAGAAAAAAACTGAAAATGATACAAAGAAGGAGAAGGTCAGTGAGAGAAAATGAGAGAGAAAGGAGAAAAAATGAAGCTGAAAGAGAGAGAGAGAGAGAGAGAGAGAGAGAGAGAGAGAAAGTGATGCTGGGAAAGAGAGAGAAAAAGGGGAAAGTGAATCTGAAAGAAAGAAAAAAGAAAGAAGGGGAAAGAGAAGGATTAAACGAGACAGAAAGAAAGTTAAAAGAGGAAAAGGAGAAAGGGAATTTGAGTGAGAAATAAAGAGAGAAAGAAAAAGCGAGGCCAAGAAAAGAGAAAAAAGAGAAAGAGAAAGTGAGACTGAGAGAGAGAGAGAGAGAGAGAGAGAGAGAGAAAGGAAGGTTGGGAAAGAGAAAAAGACAAAGATAAGGAGAAAGTGAGACTAAGAAGGAGATAGAAAATGAGGCCGAAAGAGAGAAGAAGAGAAAGAGGAGGAGAAAGTAATGCCTAGAAAAAAAAGCGAAAGAAAAAAAAACGAGAGAGAGAGAATTAAAAGGGTAAAGTGAAACTGGGTAAGAGAGAGAAAGAGAGAAAGAGAGGGAGAGGCAGAGAAAGAGAAAAAGTGAATCTGATAGAGAGAGAAAGTGAGAAAAAGAAAGAGAAAGACTGAGAAGGAGAAATATATATATATATATATATATATATATATATATATATATATATATATATATATATATATTAATTAAAAAAATATGATTCCATATGAACTCTTATGTAGCGGAGAAATCATATTTTTAAATAAATAATTATATTTAGGCTCTACTTTTGTATCGAGCACTGTTTTTTTTTTTAAATAACGAGTTCTTTCCTATTTTTTATATATTTTTACACACACACACACACATATATATATGTGTGTATGTATATATATATATATATATATATATATAAAGAGAAAGAGAGAGAGAGAGAAAAAGAAAGAGAAAGAGAGAGTGACAGAGACAGAGAGACGAACAGAGAGGGACAGCTGAAAATGAAATTGAGAACGAGAAAGTGATATTCAGGAGAGAGGGAGAGAGAGAGAGCGAGAGAGAGAGAGAGAGGAGGAGAAGCTGAAGACTAATTAATTGACGTCGGGACGGTTGGTTTTGTCTTTTCGCCGTTTGTCTTTTACATTAATTTCAAAGGTTTAAATTGATTGGTTACCAATTTTAATGGCCGTTCTTCTAAACGAAATCTAGGCATTTTCAAGAAAAGAATAAAATACTTGTGTTAGTCGCATTCAAATCAATCACAATGACGAAAAGAAACGGGCCGTTCTATTCGGAAAAGAAAAGATTTTCTAAACTTGTAAATGATAAACAGATGAAAAAAAATAAAAAAAATTAAACAATTAATTTGAAATTTGAAATAGCTGTCGGTGTGATGAAATTTACTGTCACTGTTAGTTTCAAGGAGAATAAGGAGATTCTTCAAGGAAAATAAGGACGCTCAGTATCAAACAGAATCGATACACTGATGTGTATCAATGTTTCTTTCCTTCTCCCATTAGATACGAATTACGTCGGAATTCACAGCGGGCCCAATGTAAATTCGAAAATTAGTTTTTTGATACACTAAATAGCAATTTACGGTCCAATTTGAAATTAATCGATAAATCCATCAAATTATTAAAAAATACAAAATATTCTCGTTAAATAGATTGCCGGTTAATCAGGGCATCGGTGTATTTCAGCAAAAAACTTATTTAAGATTTTTTCGTGTATATATATATATATATATATATATATATATATATATATATATATATATATATATATATATATATTTTTTTATAATATTTTTTATTATAATATTTTACATCGCTACACAAAAACTTTCAAGTTTCGGAACTATAATGTTCCTTCATCAGACGATGATAGATAACTTATGATGAAAATTGTTTATTTTGGAAACTAGAAAACAAATCATAATCTCATATTTTGTTTCCCGTTGTGTTAAGCACTTTTTAAAAAACTTAGCAGTGTAATTACCCCCCCCACCCCCACCAAAAAAAAAATGTCTTTTTGGAGTGATAACTAATTCACAGCATTTTGTGAGACTCAGTCAATCAGTTTCTGCTGTGGGTCAGTACTTGTACTAATGTTCCCTAAGAGCCACTCAAGGTAGAAGGGCACTAAAAGAGTTTGTTGTATGATCAGTAAGAGCAAAGTATAATAGGTGTAGTTTATGAGGATATGTGGGAAAGATTACAGATGACTCTAGGCTTGAAGAGGTTAAGATTGTAGTGGTCAGGAGAGCACCTTCTTGGGAGTCGGTTTCACAAAGTAATGATGAGTTGGAAGAAACAAATCGAATGGAACTTCTGCATTACAAATGGAAGGGAATGATATGGCTCGCCTCAGTGTACGTGGCATGATGGATCTAGACAATGAAGGTCTGAACTAGTGCGACTAAAGAATGTAGCTCGTTAGAACATTTTCCATAGAAATGCCGAGGGTCTTGCAAAGTTTCACGTGGGAAAACGGTTGTAAAGTAGAATATGATTCATTACCCACAAGGCCGCGTCGACGTCTTTGATTTCAAAACTGGTAAGTGAGGACTGGGCAGCTCCAGTCCAGATATGGCAGCAGGCCTCCATTTTAGGTCTAATCTGGCTCATGTGAATGTAGAGCGGAACAGGAAGAATCAGGACTGAAACCGTACAGGGAACGGAAGATTTTTCCTTTGTCTTTAGCAATGTATATAATAAATACAAATGTCAGTGTGTCACAATTTTTCAACTTAAAGGGACACAACTCTTTAACTTTCAATAGCTAATTCCAAATTAAAAAAAAATACTGTTCTCTAATTACAGTGTTTTAAAATAAAATTATCTGTGTTTTCAACTTTACTCAGAGGCCGTAGCCCAACATATCATACCATATTGGAAGCAGGCCAACTCCGTGACCAAATTAAAAACATCCACGGTTGGACCCACATTCCTGAATTTTTGGATTCCCAAATTATCATTACTGTGATTGTTTTCAGTGATATTTAAGGGGAATTTTTTGCGACGAATTTTTTTTTTTTTTGTACAATATCAATTTTTATAACTTTGGGAATAATCGAAATTAATTGCAAAATACAGCGAAAGTCATCCATGAAATAAAAATAATTGTTTGTACGGAAAGTAAGGACCTACGTACATCAAATCGTATTTAAATTAAGTGGCGACAGAAGAATTATTGTTGAACTTTTAAAAGGTAATCTTAAATATTAATGCAATATTTAAATGCAGCGATCAAATTTGAGTTCTTCTGTAGTTTATTGTTGCCTATCGCATCTACTCCTCCTAACTATTGTGATGAAGGCCTAATCAAGAGCTCTCCGCAGAAGCTAATCAAATATCATTTGATAGAGCGGCTTTTAAGCTAGTGGACCGTATATACGAGTTCCACTTGAGATCTGAGATGATTTTAAGTCTAAATCGGCCTTCAAGGTAAAGGGCATCCTTGAAGTAACACTCGTTCATTTTAAGGGGCAAAAATTTCCCCGCCTGCTTGGTGTTGATGGGACGTTACAAATTTGGTTTTTCGAGGTATTGAATGGGATCAGCCAAACTTTACACCAATAAGCTGTTAGAGATAGATCAGACAAAAGATCAGCTGTTAGGTTCTGGTCATTTAGATTTACTCTTAAACAGGTCATTAATATAAAACAGAAAGAGGGTAGGACCGAGAAGTGAGCCTTAGGGCGACGCATGCATTACACTGATGGGCCTCGAAGGACTGGACATTAACAACGCCCTCCATGGACCTAACTGTTAGGAAGGACTTGATAACTGAGAAAACTCTTCCAGAGATTCCATAACTGAGGAGCTAGCAACAACCTCCCTGTGGTACACCTTGTTAAACTCCTTGATATATCAATGGCGACCATCCTTGAACTGAACCTGTATCCTACAATGGAACCGTCACTTAAATAGTATCCAATGATAACTCTGGATTTTCTTTTTTTGTTATGACAGAATGATCATTGGATTTTTTTTAAGAGCACTTCGAATTTGCAGCCCTCAGTATTTACAAGAAGAGGAGAAATATAACGAAAACACATTCAAGACCCTTCAACAGCCTATTTTATTTTTAATGCGCAACAAAAGGTTCATAAAATATCCCAAAATAGAAGAGCTGTTCCTCCTGATAAAACTAACGAATCAAAAAAAAAAATATATATGTATATTATTCTACCCACTAACTCTATCACAACTGCAACCGAAAAGAATTTATCTAAACTCATAAAATTTATCACAACTACATCAAAGACAATCAAGGACTTAATCAATAAAAAACAAAACAACTAGCCAAAACTTGATGGAGGAATTTACTCCATCAAATGCAGGAATGAAGATATTGGAGAAACATCAATAAGTTTAAACAAGAGACTATATGAACACAAAAGGGACATTTTAAATAACAACGCACAAAACGCATTGGTTGTTCCCTGTAATAATTTTGAGATAGGAATGGTAATTTGATTAAAAGAGAAAATAATCCACTGAGACGAAAATGTCTGGGAAATGCGTTGATCGATAGTTTAGCCACAATACATTTGCGTCCAGTCTTTTACAATATATGCCCTTCCCATATTTTAGGTTACATATTGATTATACCCCACCCACTTTAACCATTTTAACGTCTATTATTACTTAATGAGTTATTCGGCGTTCCTCTTTTAAACTTTAGGCCTTCATTTTTTTTACAATAGCCCCCTATCTACACTCTATATTCGGTATTTATAACTCAATATTATATTAAGTTTATATTAAATTTCAGCTTTGAATCTGTATTTAATTTAGCGTTCCTCCCATCAGACTCAGTATATATATATTTTTAAAAATCAAAAATAACAGTACGTGCCTGATGAGTTGTTAGAACAACGAAACTTTAAGTTGCACTTCGAACGTAAGTATATGCTTTTATATATATAGGATACAGATTCGATTCCTGTCAGAGGACGCATATTTTCTATGAAAATTTCTCGGACATTCAGACCGGTAAATGTAGTTAATATTGTCTGATATAAACAGAGTATTTACTTAAATATTTGTATCTATAAAAAGAATGTATCAACATAAAAATGTCTTTAATAATTGTTGGACTTTGTCCATTTCATAATATATATATATATATATATATATATATATATATATATATATATATAAAATCTGTGCAATTTTTATACATATTATTTATATTTTAGATATGCGCTGTACTTATTGGAAAGCGTTCAATATCAGTGTTAGAGCGAACATATTTAGTTGGATCGATGTGAGTTTGTTAAACTCCAACTAATCCAAGTCAACATATATATATATATATATATATATATATATATATATATATATATATATATATATTGCTCTGCCACATAAAATTGACCATTATATTTATAACACCTGAGGAAGAAATATATTTATGTGTACGTGCAAGTATATGTCAGTGTATGTATATTTTTTCATACCCATATATATATATATATATATATATATATAAAACCTGGAAATTGCCGATTTAAGAAAAAACCGAAAGGCCGTGTAAAATTGTAAATTTATAAGTTCAAAGTTGGAATACGGAAAACCCCAAATTGAAAATAACGAAAAAATAAGAGTAATTTTATAAATTGACCGTCAAAGATAGATATGAACAATATATTATGAACAAACTGAGATAGATAGATAGATAGATAGATAGATATAAATAGACCTAATGAGCTATTAATAAACTGAGAGAGAAAGAAATGAATTGAGTTTGTCCGCTAGGTAGATATCTAAATAGACAAAGATATATAAATGGACCAAGATACATAGACAGACAGACCGATAGATATGAAAAGAATCGGATAGATCCGAACAGATAGATATACAGATATGTACAGAATAGGATGGGAAGATTGACATGAACAGATTGAAGTATATAAATATACAGATATATATATATAGAGAGAGAATGGGACGTATAAATAGATATGAAGAGACTTAGATAGGTAGATAAATAGAATGGATAGCAACGGAAATATGTCATGACACCCAATCTAAGGGAGATAACTCGTTTAAGCTAAAAGTTGCTGTGTCTGGATAAACATTAAAATAAGTTAATTAATTGTTTTTTTTTTAATTTTTGTTAGTTTATTTTAATTAAATGTTCTCTTAACAAATTTTGTTTGCTGGCAGCAGCTGTGTTTATTATCTTTAAATTAATTGGAAAATTTCATTATAAAAATAAATTCTTTAAAAAACGTCAACTCATCTTTTATATCGGTGGAAGAACTTCAATCAGAATTCAAGTCTATAAATTAGATGTAGTGAATTCCGTTCTATTTTAGAGTTGAAATAGTTAGATGCAACCGTAAGTTCTATGCTTACAGTTTCTTCTCTTGTGCTCTAGGCTTGTGGAAACTTCTTCCAGGTTCTTCTTTTGTTGTGCTCTCTTTGTAATTATCTTTTTCTTTTTCTCTTATTCTTTCATACTCAGTAACCTCCCCTTGCGTCTTAGTGACTTTATTGTCTCGTGAAATGTGGTTTTATTAAAGAGAGAAATGACTGCAAAAATCCGAGTAAAAAGTTGCTGTTTTGATAGAAAAATGGTTTATTTTACATTTGAAAACGTAAAATAATAAATAATTATTTACAATTATTGTTTACAATCGTTACATTCATGTTAAATAATAAATAATTATTTACAAATAATTGTTTATAATTGTTACATTCATGTTAAATAATAATTATTTACAAATAATTGTTTACAATCGTTACATTCATGTTAATAAATAATTATTTTCTAATAATTGTTTACAATTGTTACATTCATGTTAAATAATAAATAATTATTTAGAAATAATTGTTTACAATTGTTACATTCACATTAAATAATAAATAATTATTTTCAAATAATTGTTACAGTCATATTTAATGATCTTCATAATATTTATTTTGTATGATGTAAGTATTTAATTAATTTTTCGCGTGGTTTATCTATTTATGTATGTTCAGAAACGATGGAGAAGTAAAGGGCAAATGTTTGTTAGTGACATGTGGCTGTGATCGCCTAGAGTCCTTGATAGTAAAACATCAACTTCGATGGGCAGGTCACCTCGTCTGAATGGATAACAGCCGCATTCCAAAGCATTTGTTTTATGACGGGCTGCAAACAGGGAAGAGAAATGCTGTCGAACTTAAGATGCGCTTTAAGGAATGAATCAATGATGCGGCGAAGAAATGCAACATTCCTTGTGAGCACTGGGAAGAATGTGCATCTGATCGTAATAATTAGAATGAGGCTGATAGTAGTGGAAGGCATCACTTTGAAGATGAGAAAAGGAGGCACGCAAAGCTTAAAAGAGATGTGCGTAAAGGCGTCTCCGTTGAACTTCCTGAAGACATACGCAGGCAGTTCGATCTGCCATGTACAGATTCTGGTAGAGTGTGTCGATGGCTGGTCTAAAGAGTCACTTGAGAACGCACCGACGGAATATGGCACTTGACTATTGTTATAGTGGAACACACCTATTCTATAGTTAATAGACCCTCCCACCTATAATAATTAAGAGTAGTAGGAAGTTGCTGAGTGAGGAAGTCAGTCAGTCGATGTCGGACGACCGTTAGTCGGATATTAAAGTATCAGCGACCACCACTTGATTTCTCTGCGTCATTACCTATTATATCAAGTTCCTAACGTTTTGTACGTCGAACCTATTTTAGGACCGACTTAGTACAAATACAAGCCTCCATTGTGAAACTACTCTACAACAACTATAAAACCGTGGATGTCCAGCAATTGAAATGTGATATTTGTGGTAAGATAAGCGGTTTCATGTGACATATTAAATTGCATGATAATTTAACCCTCGCTGTTGAAACTCGTAAGTGCCCTGTTTGTGCCAGAGTATGTAGGCCCCATGCTGGCCTAAAGAGCCCCATTTGTTCAGCACATCAGTAGATATTCTCCAAAAAGATATGTAGTAATGGCCATACTCGAACACGGGTTGTCAACCACCATGTATGTATGTACCAGGGTTCGAATCTCACTTTGATTGATTTGTTAGGAAGGAGACTTTCTTATGTTATCGGTCTGAAGGGCTACGATCCAAGCGTGTAGCACCTTTGGAAAGTGCCTGAAAAACCATACTACGGGTTGACCCAAGCCTTGTGAGTGAAATTGGGTAGATGGAACACTTGGGACCTTCTATATCTGTGCTAGCACAAAGTCGAAAGCCATCGTGACCGAGGGTTTGAGTGTGCTGGCCTTTTTCACATTGTTGATCATGCTAGATAACACACTCTTTCCCAGAAACTGTAACCAAAGTCTGCTCAGCATAGTTGCAGTATAAACCACAGGTGGGCTCTGTGCGTGTTGAACAAAGACAAACGTGCTTGAGCGAGCGTCTGCAATAGGGATTGGCTAGCCGCCCGAATAGACGAGTATCCTCAAATACGAGTGGCCAGCTATTATATATATATATATATATATATATATATATATATTAAAGCATCTTTAAAATTTGCATCAAGTGATTAGTTAGCGAAGGGATTTCGCCATTTTATATCATTAACTTTACTAATTTACATTTTGTATTAAGGATTCATTGTAATATCTATATATGTATATATAGGATAATCCTAAGGAGCAAGGCAAACCTACCTTCAGGGTAAAGCCGGCCACCATTTATATATATGTATGTATATATCTATCTATCTATCTATGCATTTATGTATTGGGTGTATGTTGGTGGCAAATATTCATTCAAACAGGTATTTTGAAAGGTATATTCGTTCTCTGAATCCACAGTGCGTCACGGTCATGCAACGGCAAAGACTTTCAAATAAAATGAAATAACATCATGTTCACGTGACATCATAGACATTCAAAGTACAGTATTCAATCGTCATGCCTGCTATTCTAATAGTACACTAATTTCGTTTAATGACTTTCTTTTTAGATAATAAGAAACACGAACTATAGACAATTCCATTACTCCTTCAACAGCAAGAGACAGAAACAATTCTATCAATAACAAAAAATTCTTTTTGCTGTCTTAAAAAAAAGCTCGTTTGAATGAACATATATATATATATATATATATATATATATATATATATATATATATATATATATGTAAGCAAATATATGGATATAGATCCGACAGTATGAAGAAATATATATATATATATATATATATATATATATATATATATTCACAGATTTAAAATATAGTTTCTTCGTTACACAGTACTGACCATGTTTCAAAAAGTGAAGCTAAAATCTTCAGATTTAATGTTATAATTAAATTAAAAGCATTAGTTCTGTTTCATCTTCAAGCAAATTTTGGAATATTCGCTTGAAGATGAAACAGAACTAATGCTTTTAATTTAATTATATAATGAAATTTGAAGCTTTTAGCTTCGGTTTTTGAAACATGGTTAGTACTGTGTAGCGAAGAAACCATATTTTAAATCTGTTGATTTATAATATTTATGCTCTGTAAATTTACATTGAGCACTGTTTTGTAAAAATAAAAAATATCAGTAAGAACACCGGATGATATATCTTATGTTCTTTCTTTTTATTATAATATATATATATATATATATATATATATATATATATATATATATATATATATATATATATATATATATATGAGATTATGTTAAAAGCATTTTAAATCGCTACAAAAAAAAGCTTTCATGTTTCAATACTATGATTGTACATCCTCATGCGACGTTTGGAAACTGGTGATAAAAAAATATCACCAAATACCTTGCAAGGAGAGCACGTAGAATTGTGCAGCTTCAAACATGAAGACTATAGATAAGAACTTTGTTAATCCACCGAACGTGTACAACAGAATCCTTTGGAAATTTAATCCTGATTATTTATTATAAATCTCTTACTTCGTTGTTGTGATGAATATATTACTCGCCAAAAACGGAATCAAGCGAGGCCCATCATATCAATGTCGTGAAGCCATTTCTGACTCTAGGTATCTGGTTGGGACCCGGAAGAAAATGTGTATACAACTGAAATCAAAGGAAATAATACCCGGTTACGAAGATAGAACCTGTAACAATTTTATGGGACTACACAATACACACAAACAGAAAAATCAAATCTAACCGGCCAGACATTGTAATTAGAGACTGCAGACAAAAAAAGAAAAGAAAAAAAGCCTCCTTATTGATATGGCAGCCCCTGAAGATGTAACAGTAAGAGATAGATCAAGTATCGACCATCATAAAGACTGAAAAATAAAATTGACAAAGGTTATTGTTTAAGGTTGACGGACACGCATGTCTTAATTAGTTTTTTGTTTTTGTTTTTGTTTTTGTTTTTTTTACGAATTGGTCAAACCCAAACTCAAACAAAAACATTGTTTTCAATCATTATGAGTCCACCGATTGAATAGTATTTTATTATAAACAATTGTCTTGTAAATGGAATTTTTAAAGCATTCTGAATGTAAAAATAAAGAAAAAAGTGTGCAAGACAATAAGAAACACTACCTGCCAAAAAAAGTGAAGTTTTGTTGAAATCGGTTGAAAAATATAAACGAACACACACACACACACACACACACACACACACACACACACACACAAACACACACACAAACAACCTGGGTTTTTATAATAAGTATAACTCGATATGAGTTGTCCCCCTTTCATTATCGCGTTTTCAAATTGATTTCGTGCAAAAATAATTGTATTTTTCCAATTTTTGTCAGAACCACCGCAAGGTAATTTTACGTAGTCCTGTGAAGTTTTGTTGAAATCGGTTGAAAAATGTAGGAAATCCGATCCAATATATAAACGAACAGACACACACACACACACACACACACACACACACACACACACACATACAACCTGGGTTTTATAATAAGTATGATGATCTTCAAAAAGCTATCACAATACAAGGACCTTAAAATCGAAATCTCAAAAATGTGGCATATGAGAGCATCAACGATCTCTGTTGTAGTTGGAGCCCTCGGATTAATTTGAAAAGATTCCACTCGACTTATTGAGGGGATACCTGAAAGCCCATGCCTTAAAGAAATACGAAAAATGTTCTCATGAGGACAGCTCACACCTTACGAAAGGCTTTTTATTTATATGAAATATTTTTGTTTTGTTTTGTTTTTTAATTGCTCAGTGGAAAGTGCCATGATGCCATTTCTGACCCTAGGCCTGTGGGTGGGAGCCGGAAAGAAATAAGTACACACCAGAAATCATAGGAAGAAATAATAATAATAATAATAATAATAACAATATCACTAATTCGGTAAGAAAACTATCTCAACAGTATGTACAGAAAAGCAGACATACACAAATGCAATGGGATGACATATGATATACAAAGTCTATATATCAATATAATGATAAGTAATTAAATGACAAAATAAATAAAAAAAAACTGTGTAACGCATTTTATCGTTTGTTATTTTAGTTGAAGTCCTTTTGAAGATGCATATACGCTTAGTAGTTTACAACTCAATAGAACTGTCTTAGACAGCATGTACAAATAAAGACAATTTTATTAATTTTATAGAATATGTACATAACGAAAGTTGAAAAGATATTTGCGATATTTAATTAGAGAAACAGACACACATTAAAATAAATGAAAGGCAATAATAATAATGTTTTACTAAAGGGAAACTCTTTGCCGTAGAACAAAATAAGTTGCAAGGTTCAAGGGAGGTAACTACGGTAAATAATTTCCCGAGTTATTTTCCTTGGTTATCTATCTATCTATCTATCTATCTATCTATCTATCTCATTCTGTTCATATCTCATGCTGTCATATTCTCTCTCTCTCACCCCCCTCTCTCTATATACATATATATCCAAGTCTGTTACTCTCTATCTACCTATCTAAAATTAGCTTTTGAAACATTTGTATTTCATTTCTAAAAATGATTCAGAATGTCGTCGTATCTTGTGTAAGTGACATAGAATTGGTGAATCATGCTTTTTACGGCTTATCAACCATTTATGGATTTGTTGAAACATTTTTGCGCCGTAAGAAGAGCTGTTTTGCGAGAGAGTATTGCATTAAACATTTTTTTCAGAATAACAATGATTTTTTTTCCAGATGCAATTATTAGTATTTAACCCATAGACGGGGGAATGGGAATGGGAATGGAGATGGATACACTATTTATATTCGGACTATTGTCCTCATATTTGTTGTTATTACTACAACGTTTCGATCGTTGTGCTCTCCGGCTTTTCCCAGGTGTATATCGGTGTGGACAACCCACAGACCTGAACACTTTATTTAATCTATAGGATTAGACTGTTCTTGTTCCACTGCTCATGTCTAGGGATATCTCGTCTAGTTCTTATTTTTATTTAGTTCTTATTGCTTTGTTTACTTATTTCTCACCCGTTTCCACTGAGAGCACTTACACACTGCCCGACCCAGGGATTGAACTCGCAACAACTATGTCGTCAAATTGACAAACCAACAATAAGTAAGGCAATAGCCTAGTAAATAAAAGCGTTGATCGATATACATCTGAGGAAGGTCGGAGGGCACAACAGTCGAAACATTGTGATAACAACAACAAAGATGAGGATAATAGTCCGAATATAAATGGTGTAGGCAATAACTTCTCATTCCAGAAATTCAGACAGAAATTCCGTAAGTGTATTTAAGTGTAAGTGAATGTAATAAACCCGAGTGGAATTCGAACTCTGCTTTACGATGCATCCTTCTGAGCCTCTGTTCATTACAAGGGACATAGAAGATAAAGACAATGAAAAGAAAATCTGTCGAATTGTGGCTTCTTTTGCCGCCTTGTGAAACTTAAGACACATTGAGAAATTTGATAATTATGAAGATTTCCTTTTCAGTGTATTCGAATGTTATGGAGTAGCTTAAAAAAAAAAAAAAATTTTTTTTTTCGAAACATACTTTCATGAACATTTTTCCAAATGTCAATAATTTATAACTCTTACGAGATTACATACCCAAATTTATAACATGCTGTCTACATGTCGAACGCATGGATAAAAAATAAAACAAATCTTTCATTTATTTTCTACCCATTTTTAAAGGATTTCTATCTCTAAACTCGGACACTTAATGCAAAGAACATAAAAAATGAAACGACTTTTAAAAAAAAAAAAATCACTAATTTTCTTTGTCTTTTTTAGTGACGAGAAACGTCAGCTTGGGAAAAATATAAGATTTCATTATTTTAAACACACACAAATACATACACACGCAATTCATTTTTTCGTCTTCGATTTGATGAAGCATAACAGGCGATATGCATAGTCGGGTCTTTATTCGAAACATAATTTCATGAATATATATATATATATATATATATAATAAATTTTCTTTTCATTTTTTGTTTGGAAGTAAAGTCTGATGATCCGCAGTCCTTTAAAAGGGCTGTGGTGAAATAATTTATTACATGGAACCTTAAAGTGGTCTGTTTTTTATTTAAATTATTTGCTCTGGATTTACATTGAGCTCTCTGGATTTTATCCTCCTTAGGTTTACCCATACAGATTACCTAGTTTTCATAAACTATATATATATATATATATATATATATATATATATATATATATATTAATAATTATATCTATCTATCTATCTATCTATCTATCTATCTATCTATCTATCTATCTATCTATCTCTCTCTCTCTCTCTATATATATATATATATATATATATAAAATTATTTATTTAAAAATATGATTCCTTCGCTACATAAGAGTTATCAACTTTCAAAACAAGAGCCAAAATCTTCAATATAATTATTTGAATTAAAGTACCAAGCTCTTTTCCATCTTCAAGTGAAATTTTTGGAATAATATGGAACAGAGCTTGGTACTTTAATTCAATTTAATTCAAATAATTATATTGAAGTTTTCGGCTCGTGTTTTGAAACATGAGAACTCTTATGTAGCAAAGGAATCATATTTTTAAATAAATAATTATATTTAGGCTCTACTTTTGTATCGAACACTGTTTTTTAAAAAATAATAACAAAAATACTAAAGAACTTTTGATTATTTACCTAACGAGTTCTTTCCTATTTTCTACATATTTTCACACACACACACACACACACACACACACATATCATATTTTTAATATATCTATATATATATATATATAGATAGATATATTAAAAATATGATTCCATCGCTACATAAGATATCTCATGTTTCAAAACCAGAAGCTAAAAACTTCAATTTTTGGAAATTAAATTAAAGTAAAGTACGTAGTTCTGTTTCATCCTCATGCAAATTTTGGAATGACTAATTTTGAAATTTACGGAGCTTTATAAGCATATATATTCGTAATATTAATTTCTATTTTTTTTTAGCTTCTGTTTTTGAAACATGAGAAATCTTATGTAGCGACGGAATCATATTATAAAAAAATAATTATAATATAGGCACACACACACACACACACACACACACACACACACACACACACACACACACACACACACACACACACACACACACACTACTCCGGCTCGATTTGCTATTTAAGACTGGGTATGAAGTCTTTTTATAGACAGTCGGAACGGCTCCCCGTTATCAACGGCTTCTATAACTTCTATATATATATATATTTTACATTGCTGTAAATCAATTTTATTCCACAGTGAAGCTTGGATTAAAAAATAAAAAAAAAAACGACTTCGAATTAGGACAAGGTTCGTTTGATGGTGTTGAAGTTTCAGAATTATTAGACCTACATATTTTCTTATGAAATCAACAAAATTGTACATATCAAACAACTACGGCCTGTATAGGGATGATGGACTGATGACAGTGCCAGACAACAGAAGAACAAATGACAATGTAAGATAAAAAGGAAGAATATGAAAAGATTTTAAAAGAAGAGTGGCATAAAACCAAACTGGAATTTAAACCTCAAATAAAACAACAAATGAAGAACAATTCGAGGAAAAGAAAAAAAATATCATTTGGTTTAACCCTCTTTTAAATGAGAGGACAAATATAAGATAGGGAAAATATTTTTCAAATTACTTACTAAACACTTCCCCAAAAATTTTGAATTACATGAAATATTTAATAAAAACACAGTACCAATAATTTAGAAATAAAAAGACAAAACAAAACGCCAGAAATTTCAAAACTAACGTGCAGCAAGATATGATTAACAGTGAAATATGCAAATGTAGAAATAAAAGGTGTCCATTAGATGGAGTTTGCAAAACTGAAGCAGTAATTTACAAAGCGGAAGTAATACACACAAACAGCCAGAAAATATACATCGGGCGTACTGAAGGTAAGTTTAAGATGAGGTAGTAAAATCACAAGTCATCTTTCAAGCTAGAAAGTTTTAGGAATTCTACCAGACTAGCCAATCATGTGTGGAGATTAAAGAGGGAAAAAAGATCTGATTGTAAAATCGAAAATTTGAACAAAAGCCAAACCTTACAACAATAATAGTAATATCTGCAACCTTTGTCAACAAGAAGAGTTAGCTATAATAATATTTCAAGACAAAAAAACACCCCCAAAACCAAAAAAAAAAAACCCCCAAAACCCCAAAAAACCAAAACAAAAAAAAAACAAAAAAACAAAAACAAAAACACACACACACGTTTTGGGTCAGGAAGTTATGACAAGTTGCATACATACTAAAAATTTTCTTTTGAGTTCATATGAAGTGGAATTAAAAGAAAGTATTTATATTTCATTTGACCCCCAACCGATGCATTTTCAATACCCTTTTATTCTTCTCCTTCTCCCCTTCTATCATACCTCACATCGTGCGCTTATTTATTCATTTTCAAATATTTATTATAGAGTTCTTTAAAACTTTTTAAAATATAAAGCGTTAAGAAATCAATTGAACGAAACCGTCTGAAAATAGCGAAAGGTTAAAACCTACGTAAAGGAATCGGCTAGTATCTTATATATTTTTTTAAACTTAAAAACTCTACATGTTACATTTTATCTTTTTTTATAATATAATTTCCTGGCCTAATTCAACTCTAACCATTAACTTATTTATTATATATAGTTATTTTCTAGGAGGGAAATCTCGTTGTTTGTCTATTCTGGTTTTGCTTTCTATACACTTTTGTGTCGGAATAGAGGTCACTTTGTTCATATTGAATTTTTTGTTTTAGCGATCATAACATATTCTGGATGCCCCGATTTCATAGCAAACCGTACGTTTCAAAAAATGCTTGAATAATGAAAATAAGCAAACCCTCTTTTTAACATTGACAATTAATAGTAAGCAATAATTAATGACTGTGATACGCTGGAAGCAATGGAAACCAGGATTCTTACGTGTCATGCCTTAAAGGGAATAGACAGATCCAATTTGTTAGGGTCTGTACAAGGTCATGACCTAGTTGTCATAGCCTAGTTGTCTTTACAAATTTGGTAATTTTTAATCCAATGAAATGATTAAATTGCCGTAGATTTGTCATTTATTTCCATTAAACATAAACTAAAATTTAAAAAAAAAAAAGAAAAACTGATTAGATGAAGATTGTATCGTGTCCACTAAAATATCAAATACACTATTTATAAACCAATCACACTCAAGAAAACACATCTTAAAAGACACCAATAAAATCATAGATTACAAATCAGAATGTTTGTTGTATTAGTCATCATTATTTTTAGGTAGATATCGATCAAATATCGTGCGGACGTAGTAGAAGACATACCACGTGACATTTTAGGGCCAATTAGGAATAAATAAATAATTTAATTCTGGAGCTGATTTTGTTACGAAAAAATGTATAAAAACATACAAAATCCGTTCCCAAACA